TTGTTTTATATATTTCTCGTTTATTTCTTATTGTATATATAAAAAAAATCCAATATCGATAAGACATTTTTGGTTACATATATAAAAAAGAGAAAGGCTTTTAAATCCACGCAACGGCCAAGTAATTTTGATAGAGTGGTGAATCCACCTTCAACATCGCTTAGATCGTAAGGGTTTATTGAGTAGTCGTGTATTAACTTGAACCCCGTGTAAGAGTGGATTTAAAAAAAAATAATAATAATAAAGTAAAAATCAAGCTAAAAAATTTTAACACTTTTGAAACTCTTTCAAACCTAATTTTCAAAAGAACTCTTTCAAATCTAATTTTTAAAAGAACTACGTGACAGCTTTGATTCTTCTGTTGCATACGGGAGATACGTAGGAGCGGGAACCTGACCCGTCAAGTCCAATTTTTTTTTTTTTTATTTTAAATCATTTTTAAAATTTTTTTACTATGAGCAATTTAAAATAATAAAAAAGGAAAACAAAATTTCTATGTTATTTAAAAAGGGGAATAAGTAAATAAAATAAAATAAAAATGTTTTAAGATTATTTTCATTAATGCCAAAAATGTAAACGCAAAAAAAAGGAAAAAAAGAGAGGGGGCAATAAGATTCTATGATTAATCCCTTCTTTCAATTCAAATTAAAATTTTTATGTTTCTTTATTTAAAAAATAAAAAATAGATATTTACTAAAAAAAATCAAACTAATTTTTATTTAATATGAAAAATAAAAATGAATAATATTTTATAAATAATCCATCTTCCTAATTTAAATTATTTTTTTTAATTTTTTATCAAAAATATAAAAAACGAATTTTATACTTAAAAAAAAAGAGAGAAAATTAAAATAAATTTTGTTTAAATTTATCCAATTCAAAAAAAATAAAAAAAGAGAATAATATTTTGTAAATAATCTATTTTCCCAATTTAAACTAAATTCTTTAAGTTCTTTACAAAAAAATATGCAAAAAATGAATTTTTACTTAAGAATAAAAAATCAGGTTGATTTTTATTCAAATTTATTTAATATGATAATGAAAAAGTAATATTTTATAAATATTTCATTTTCTCAATTAGATTTTTAGCACTATTCAAAAATAAAAAAGGGGGAAAATCTTACTTTAAGAAAAAAAAAATCATATCATATTTTATTTAAATTTATTTAATATGAAAATAAAAATAAAAATAGTATTTTTAATTTTTTTTAAATTTATTTAATATGCTAGTAAAAAAATAATATTTTATAAATATTTCACTTTCTTTATTAGATTTTTTAGCTCATTGTTTAAAAATGAAAAAAATACAAAAAAAGAAAAAGGGAAATCTTACTTTAAGAAAAATAAAAAATCATGTCATATTTTATTTAAATTTATTTAATACGAAAATAAAAGAAAAATAGTTTTTTATATATATATTCATTTCTTTAATTCAAATTTTTTGTTGTATTTCTAAAAAATTTATATATAAAATTAAAACTAAAAAAAAATTGTTAAAAAAAAAGGAATGAAAATCAAAAAATAAAAAAAAAATCAATAATTTTCTTTAAAAATGAAATAAATAATTTTTAAAGTTGAAATGATTTTTGCACAATTAGTTAGAAGGTAACTGTTTTAATCAACAGACGTCGTAGGATGCTAATACCTTCCCTATGCGTAAACAACTCCCGAGTCCAAACATGGTTTTGAAGATTATTTTATTAAAAGTTTTTCCAATATTTTTCTTTAATAAACTTTGGTGGCGACTCCTTGTCATCGCCGTCTTGTCGTGCCACCGGTTGTGACAGATGGCGACTCCACTGGGGAGATATTTTAGAGTCAAGCTTAATCTAATTAATTGTGCAATGTTTTTAACTTTTTACATATTTGTTTCACTTTTTATCTTGTTTATATATTCCTTTTATTTAACTTATCGTCTAGTGTATTTTGTAAATATATTTCGTTCTCTTGATATATTGTGAAGCTTAGGATAGATGACCCTTGTACCATTTGTTATGTGTTCGTTAATATTTGACATAGGGTAATGGTTTGTATGCTCCTTCCACACACATCACTAACACTCACCTCACACACATTTGGGCTCTATACCCGAGCTTGTGCGAGCCTAGGAATAGAAGATGCCTTGACTGCTGTTATTGAGGGGCTTGATGCCCACTTGGCCGTCGTCTGGGTATTGCTCAGGTTGTTACTAGCATCATGGCTTAGTCATATTGAGAGGGCATGTCCCTACTTGTGGCTAGGTTATGAGCTGGGTCCTTATAATTTAATAGGGGCAATCTGAGGGCCATAATAGATTTAGGGATTTAGATCCACCTCAAAACCATGCACTAATTAATGACCATAGTGACCACTTCACTATAGGATTCTACCCAAAATAAGAACACATGAGGAGCTCACTCTCCTTTTCTCTTCATTCATCATAGCTTTAGTAACATGACATGCATACCATGAGTATACAATTTTCTTTCCTTCGCATCCAAAAAATTAAAAATATTCATTTTGTGAAAATCAAGGTCATTACATGAGCATGCATTGGTAGGACATCTCCTAAGGATGATGGGTTTCATTTCATCTCATTATTTGCAATCATCCAAATTATCATGCATTCATTAAGTTTACATATCAAACATCAATTTTATTTTATTATGTTTTTCTTTTTTCATTATGCTCATTTTTTTTTGTTGTATAAAATTTGTACAAGATTTAATAGCATTAAAAAATGAGAGAAGTTCAAGGTCACATTAGCAATGCATCAGGACCAATGAGAAGTATCAAAATCACTGTGTTGAGTAATGACCTTCAAAGAGTGAATGAGATTCGCCAACATATGCCCAAAGAAGCACATTTAAACTTTGAAAGGAAATATGGTTGGATCCTCAATTTACTTTCTATCTCAATAGAAACACCAATGTTGAGCGCTCTAGCCCAATTCTAGAATTCAAAACTCAGATGCTTGGAATTACCCAGCTTGGATCTTGTGCCTACCATAGAAGAATATGAAATGATGGTTAGACTACCAATCAAGGAAGACAATAAGGTATATCTGTATAGAGGAAACTACGTGGGATCCAGGAAAATGGCTGCTTTGATCGGCCTAAGCACAGAACGAGCCGAGTTTGAGAATAGGGGATCAGTTCAAGGTTGGAAGAAGGGCTATTTAGAAGAACATCTGGAGTCTTTATACAAGCAAGGGAACTGGGACAATTTCAACAAGACTCTCGCATTATTAATCTATGGACTAGTTATATTCCCATTCACCTCAGGTTTTGTAGACCAGGCTGCCATGGATGTATTTCACCAATATGAAACAAACAGAGTGAATCCAGTTCTAGCTATCTTAGCAGATACTTTACTTTCTATGGAAGTATGTCATCAGAGAAACGAGGGTACATTACGATGTTGGTCTCATTTACTATTTATTTGGTTCACAACCCATCTCTATGCAGCAAATCATATGGGTCAAATGCCCGATCCTTTGAGGAATTTTCATCGTATTCCAATCAAAAAACAAGATGCTCGACTATGGAAAGAGGACTTCTTGAGATTCAAAGCTAAAAATTTTCCATGGGTATGTCCTTGGTACCACCCCAGAGACACCATTGTTAGTTACGAAAAGTTTTCAAGTGTGCCTTTGATGGGACCAAGAGGATGTATAGCATATACTCCAACCGTAGCTCTCAGACAACTCAAATGGACTCAAACCAAGCCAAGGAATGAAGAATTGGGAGGATTGATCTTCCAGTATACTGAAGATGGTGCAAATAAGCGTCTAGAAGAAATCAAAGCTGCATGGGAGAATGTTAGAAGAAAGGGAGAGAAGGAACTGGGTAAATCTCGTGTGACCGTCTCACCACAATATCGAGAGTGGAGGGAAGCTAGAAGAACCCAAAATCAAGCCTCTAAAGCAGATTGTCAAGAAAAGGAACCTTCTCAAGCACCCAATGAAGCAGTGACTTCCTTGATGACCCAGTTAGAAGGAGCAAAAGCACAAATGAGATTATTGGAAGAGGAAGGAGAATACGCCAAGGTGGAGGTTGACCGACTCAAGAGACAATGTCAAAAGAAAGATCGAGAAATAAATCATTTAAAAGATTAATGTGCCAACGGGTTTGACGACTCAAATGGCTAAGGGGCAAAAAGAAAGAGGAAAGAAGAAGCTTCTCTCTCCAAAATGAAAAGAATGCGAGATGAAATAAACATGTTGACTGAGGCTCTGAAGACAGAGAAGGAGGCATCCCTCTCTAAAATGAAGGGAGCGCAAGATGAAATGAATATGTTAAAGAGGGAATTGGCCGAGACTCTTAAAAGAGAGAGGAAATTACAAAACCAGAATGAAGCACTTGAGAATGAGAAAGATAAATGGCGCGTTCGAGCCGAGTACGAACAGGAAAGGAAGAGGGAGTGGATGAAGAGGTGCGATGACATGTATGACTGCGTCCAACGTCATACCATACAGCTGTTAGAACACTTTCGAGAAGCAAAGGAAGAGTACCAGAGGAACGATGAGATTGTGTTTCCTCTTAAAGTCATTATGTTCTTTAGATATTGTAAAAACCTTGCTATGAGTTTTGGGGTGCATGTGTAATTCCTTCACTTGAAAATGACACTGTATTTATTCTATTTGATATGGGATAAAATTTATTTGTGGTGTTCATATTTGGCTTTAATACGAATCTCACCTATTGAGGATACCCTCATTCTTAACCGAAGTGATTTGCCATGGAATGAGAGCATAAGGCATATGATGCATTGCTAATGAGTAAGACCTCGACTATTGAGAAGTGAATGCTTCCTTAGACTGAGTGTCAACTACTGCTCGACCTAAGGGGGATTTGCCTCTAGCATTGAAAAGTAGGGAACTTCTCTAAAAACATTGAATATTTAACAAAAACATATTCATTCTATTAGTCTTCTTTTTACTCATCATGTTCTTTTCATAATTAAAATTAGCAAAATTGCGGATCAGACATCCTTATAGAACGCGTTCCCAGTCGAAGGTCATGGACGAATTAGAACAACACAATGAAGAGTTGAGAAACGAAGTCAACCAACTGAAAGAGCAAATGGCCAGAATTCTGGAAATACTGCAATCTTTGGAAAGGAGAAACACTGAGGAGATCACGCCAGTTAATGAAGGACCGCCTGCTACTTCCACATGTCCACCCGGCTTCATCTCCCAAGGGACAATGGCACCACTAACATTGCATCCCACTAAGCCTGTCCAACAGACTAATTTTCAAGAGGCTCAATTCCCACCTTATGGCATCCCAGCTGGCTATGCACCACCTATGGCACAAGAGGCACAATTTTCATCATACAATAATGTACCTCCAGCTGTAAGTGATTCATTAATCACTCAACAACAATCTACCCAACCCCCAAGCATGCCCTCAAACATCATCGAAAGCCCTCAAACCTTTCCAATATTGCCAAAAGATACTATTCCTAACCTACAGGTTATCCTCCAACCGCAAACTATCAACCTGAGCACCCAAGGGAATCCACCTACCCCCATTGGTATTGCAAACATATCTTTTCATCCCACTATTGAAGAGTTTCAGCCAGATGAGGATGATCATTCTAAAGGGAAGTTGCAACTCCTGGAAGACAGGTTGCGAGCTGTTGAGGGTAATAGTTACGGTATTGGAGACGCAGTTGACCTTTGCTTGGTGCCAGACCTAGTAATTCCTCCAAAATTTAAAGCACCGGAATTTGATAAATACAGAGGCATTACATGTCCAAAGAGTCACCTAACAATGTACTACAGGAAAATGGCGTCGCATGCCCGTGATGACAAGTTGTTAATCCATGTCTTCCAAGATAGTTTAATTGGGGCAGCTTTAAATTGGTACATGCATCTGGAACGTACTCGTATTCATTGTTGGAAGAATTTGGCTGATGCTTTCCTGAAGCAATACAAGTACAACATTGACATGGCTCCTGATAGATTAGAGCTTCAAACCATGATGAAGAAAGACCATGAAACTTTTAAAGAATATGCTCAAAGATGGAGAGAGACGGCAGCACAGGTTGAGCCACCCCTTTCAAAAAAGGAAATGGTCTCTTTATTCATTGATACTCTTAAATCTCCTTATTATGACAAGATGATTGGAAGCATCTCCGCAAACTTCTCTGACATTGTCATTATAGGAGAAAGAGTAGAAAGTGGCATGAGAAGTGGAAAAATTGCATATGCTACGGGGGCAACTAACATCAAGAGGCCATTGAGCGGACCTGGGAAAAAGAAAGAAGGGAAAGCCAATGCAGTAACGTTTCACCCCTCTGGAAAAGTCGACCCTAGACCAGCCCATACCCCCTATAAATCTTACCATCCCAACACACAAAATCCATCCTCCACATTCCCCGTACAACCACCCCAAACCAACCAAGCCCATCACACTTATCCTAACCAAGCTAGACCCCAAAACTATCAAGACCGAAAATCAGTTCACTTCGACCCCATCCCTATCACCTATACCGAACTGTTACCTCAGTTACTGCAGAGCTCAATGGTGGTGCGTTGTCCCATGAAACCCACCCCCGGAACCCCCATATCTTAGGGGGTATGATCCCAATGCTAGGTGCGAATACCATGCAGGTGTTGTTGGCCATTCCATAGAAAATTGTAAGGCACTAAAGTTTAAAGTGCAAGATTTGATTCATGCAGGGTGGATAAGTTTTGAGGAGAAGAATCCCAATATTGGAAGCAATCCTTTGCCAGGTCATCAAGGACCGTCTATCAACCTCATTAATGAAGGCAGGGAACAATTCTTGAGGAGAAAAGTTGAAGAAGTGAAGACCCCATTGAAGTCCATTTTTAGAGAAATGTGCAAATTTGGACTACTTGAGCGAAGTTCGGAAAGAGGAAATGGTTGTGAGTTTCACCCTAATGCAGCCCACACATTGGAGGAATGTATTGACTTTACCCACACTTTGCAAGACCTTATGGATAAGCAATTAATTCAAATTGGTTGCTCCAAGATTGATCAAGAGGTGTTAGCAGTTGACGAGTTGACCTCAAACAGCCCAAAACCTTTGGTGATCCATTACACCAAGAAAGGAATCGCATTGGTATCTACTCTACCAAAGCCCATCACTTTACGAGTCCCTATGCCTTTCCCATATAAGGACAATAAAATGGTACCTTGGAAATATGATGTGAAAACTTACACTAATAATCATGAAGAGAGTCAATATTCCCATGCTGTTGATGTTACAAATATCGCTGGTGTCGGAGGTATGACTCGGAGTGGTCAAATCTATACTCCTGAGGAATTGAGGAATGAACAGTTGATAGAAAAGGGGAATAATTGTGAAAAGGAGAGCACCAAGGCAACTGACTCAAAGGGGGAACAAAAGAAAATGGTCTCTCATGAAGAGGCCTGTGAGTTTTTGAAGCTCATAAAACAGAGCGAGTATATGGTGGTGGACCAACTAAACCGAATTCCTGGTAGAATATCATTGTTGTCATTGATGATGAACTTAGAACCCCATAGAAAAGCATTGTTGAAAGTCTTAAATGAGGCTCACGTTGTCCATAATATCTCAGTTGACAAGCTAGAAGGTATTGTTGGCAACATCACTGCCAATAATTATCTTACCTTCAATGATGACGAAATTCCCGTGGGAGGAGCGGGACATAACAAAGCTTTGCACATTTTTGTGAGGTGTATGGATCATATCTTGGCAAGAGTCTTAATTGATAACGGCTCTTCACTAAACGTAATGCCTAAAATGACCCTAGCAAAGTTACCATCAGATGGATCATACATGAAGCCAAGTACCATGGTGGTTAAAGCATTCGATGGCTCTCGAAGAGAAGTGATTGGAGAAATTACTTTACTGGTGATGATTGGACCTATTATCTTTGAGGTAACATTCCATGTGATGGATATCGCACTGACCTATAGCTGTCTCTTGGAAAGACCATGGATTCACTATGCAAGGGCTATACCTTCTACACTTCATTAGAAACTGAAGTTTATTATAGATGACAAGTTAGTCATTGTCTCAGCTGAAGAGGACCTGTTAGTAACTAAGCCTTCATCCACCCCTTACATTGATGTCACTGAAGAGGCTCTGGAAACCTCATTCCAAGCACTCGAGATTACTAATACGACGTATGTAGGGGAGGGAACATCTGTCATGAAGCCACAACCATCAAATACAGCTATGATGATAGCGAGAGTTATGCTTGAGGAAGGTTACTGGCCTGGATGCGGGTTAGGCAAGAATGAGCAAGGATTGATTGAGTTGCCTAAACCAATTGACAATAAAGATCGATTTGGACTTGGTTATAGGCCAACAAGGGCAGATAAAAGAAGGATAATAGCTGAGAGAAGAGAAAAGAGGATGGCCAAATTAGAAAATAGAGAGCCTGAAACTGGAAGGATCCCTTTTTGTGATCTCCTACAAAGCTTTCAAAGTGCAGGATTTGAATTTGCAGATCCAGTGGCTGCTGCTGAGGAAGATACCCACGGAGATGAACATGTCAATTTAGTTCGCGCGTGCTCACCGAATACAAAGATCCATAATTGGGAGATCATTGAGTTTCCTGTGATTTTAGATTCAAAAGTCAAGTAATTTGTAATGCTGATTCTATTGCTCTACCCAAGGCTTTAGGATATTTGTTTTTCTTTATTTTGTTTTATTGAATCGGGCGTACATGTTTCCTTTTGATATTATCAATAAAATGCATTTTGAATTTTCCAATAAAATTTCCTTCCTTTCTTATTATTAGACCTTTCGCTATCTTCTTATCTTTTTGTTATTGCAAACTATAAATTGTGCAGACTTGACGATGATATACTCGAAAGCGTCAATGCTAATATCGCTCAAAATAATGTTGACTGTCTCATTAATCAAGCTAGCAATGAAACTGAACATGAGCACGATCCTTTTCCTGAACTGCTAAGGCTAGTAGAGCAAGAAACTAAAGAAATTTCGCCTCAGCAAGAACTTACAGAGATGATTAATCTGGGCCTCGGAGAAGAGAAAAATGAAGTCAAAATCAGCACCTTATTGAAAGAGAATGAGCGCCGCAAGTTGATAGAACTCCTCCATGAATATAAGGACATCTTTGCATGTTCATACCAAGACATGCCCGGCCTCGATGCAAATATTGTGGAACATAAATTACCATTAAGGCCAGAATGTCCCCCGATCAAGCAAAAGTTAAGACGGATGAAACCCAAAATGTCCTTAAAAATCAGAGAAGAAGTGAAGAAACAACTTGATGCTGGTTTCCTAATTGTTGCAAAATATCCACAATGGGTTGCAAACATAGTGCCTGTCCCTAAGAAAGATGGAAAAGTCCGAATGTGCGTAGACTATCGAGATCTGAATCGAGCTAGTCCTAAAGATGATTTTCCACTGCCACACATCGACATGCTTGTAGACAACACAGCCCAACACCAATTCTTCTCCTTCATGGACGGTTTCTCAGGATATAATCAGATCAAAATGGCAGAAGAAGATAGAGAAAAGACTACATTCATCACACCTTGGGGTACCTTTTGCTACAAAGTTATGCCGTTCGGGTTAAAAAATGCAGGGGCAATATACCAAAGAGCAATGGTGACCTTATTTCATGATATGATGCATAAAGAGATTGAGGTGTATGTAGATGACATGATTGCAAAATCTAGAAGTGAAGAGGATCATATTGTTCATCTTCAGAAGCTATTTGAGCGATTGAGGAAGTTCAAGCTAAGATTGAATCCAGCCAAATGTGCCTTTGGCGTGAAGTCTGGCAAGCTACTTGGATTCATAGTTAGCCAAAAGGGGATAGAAGTGGATCTTGACAAAGTTCGAGCAATTCTTGAAATGCCACCACCCAACACAGAAAAAGAAATTCGAGGGTTCTTAGGGAGACTAAACTATATTGCCCGATTCATATCCCAATTGACCGCTACATGTGAACCAATTTTCAAGTTATTGCGCAAAAATCAACCAATGAAATGGAATGATGATTGCCAAGAAGCCTTTGAGAAAATCAAGCAGTACTTACAGGACCCTCCAATCTTGATTCCACCAGTTCATGGAAGACCCTTAATCATGTACCTGACGATACTCGATGGATCAATGGGTTGTGTGTTAGGGCAACATGATGACTCTGGAAGAAAAGAGCATGTCATTTATTACTTAAGCAAAAAATTCACTAATTATGAAGCCAATTACTCGTTATTGGAGCGAACTTGTTGTGTTTTAGCTTGGGCTGCCCACCGATTGAGACAATATATGCTTAGCCACACGACCTGGTTGGTATCAAAGATGGATCTGATCAAGTATATCTTTGAAAAGCCCGTTCTCACTGGGAGAATTGCTCATTGGCAAGTACTTTTATCTGAATATGACATTGTGTACGTCACTCAAAAGGCAATTAAAGGCAGTGCCCTAGCAGACTACCTAGCTCACCAGCCAGTAAATGACTACCAGTCAATGCAATGTGAATTTCCCAATGAAGACATAATGACTTTGTTTAAAGAAGAAGGGTCAGGAAAGGAAAAATGGATCATGCTATTTGATGGGGCCTCCAATGCATTGGGACATGGAGTTGGCGCTGTGTTAATCTCCCCAGAGAAACACCATATCCCAATCACAGCAAGGCTATCTTTTGATTGTACAAATAATGTGGCAGAATATAAAGCATGCGTTCTAGGGATTCAAGCAGCTATAGAATCAAAAGCCAAGATTCTTGAAGTATACGGTGATTCGGCCTTGGTGATTCATCAATCGCGAGGTGATGGGAGACTAGAGATGGCAAGTTAATCCCTTATCAGGCTTTTGTGAGAGTTTTGATAAAGCAATTTGAGGAAATCACCTTTCATCATATCCCACGGGAGAATAATCAATTGGCAGACGCATTAGCTACCTTAGCGTCTATGTTCGAATTGAGCAACGAAAAAGATATGCCGCTTATAGAGATTCAACATCGCGATCAGCCTGCTTATTGCCAACTAGTAGAAGAAGAGTTAGATGGACGACCATGGTACCACGACATCAAACAGTATATCCAAAATAAAGAGTATCCATCAGGAGCTTCAGAGAATGACAAAAAAACTCTAAGAAGATTGGCAATGAGTTTCTTTTTAAATGGTGAGATACTTTACAAGAAAAATCATGACATGATACTGCTTAGATATGTGGATGCTAATGAAGCACAAAATATTATCAGAGAAGTCCATGAAGGCTCCTTTGGAACCCACGCAAATGGACATGCCATGGCAAGAAAGATCTTAAGGGCTGGCTATTATTGGCTAACCGTGGAGACTGATTGCTTCAAATATGTGAAAAAATGTCACAAATGTCAAACTTATGCAGATAACATCCATATCCCACCAACAACATTAAATGTCTTGTCATCACCATGGCCATTTTCAATGTGGGGAATGGATGTCATAGGGCCCATTGAGCCAAAGGCATCAAATGGACATCGTTTCATCCTAGTAGCAATCAACTATTTCACCAAATGGGTTGAAGCCACCTCATACGCCAATGTGACTCGAAATGTAATAGTGAGGTTTATCAAAAAGGAATTAATATGTCGGTACGGCCTACCAAATAAGTTGATCACGAATAATGCTACTAATCTCAATAACAAAATGATGACAGAGTTATGTGCTAATTTCAAGATTCAGCATCATAACTCTTCTCCATACCGCCCAAAAATGAATGGAGCAGTCGAAGCAGCTAACAAGAATATTAAAAAGATTATTCAGAAAATGGTGGTGACGTATAAAGATTGGCACGAAATGCTTCCCTTTGCCCTACATGGATTCCGTACGTCTATCCGCACATCAATCGGGGCAACTCCATTCTCCTTGGTATATGGTATGGAAGCAATTCTTCCAATTGAAGTTGAAATCCCTTCACTGAGGGTGCTAATGGAAACCGAATTAGAAGAAGTGGAATGGGTACGAACTCGTTTTGAACAATTAAACCTTATTGAAGGAAAAAGGTTAAATGCAATGTGTCATGGTCAATTGTACCAGAAGAGATTAAAGAGAATGTTCGAGAAGAAGGTACATCCTCGAGAGTTTCAAGAAGGGGATTTGGTAGTCAAGAAGATACTCCTTATTCAAAAGAGTCGTATTGGTAAGTGGACTCCAAATTATGAAGGACCTTACGTCGTAAAGAAGGCTTTCTCAGGAGGAGCCTTGATTCTTTCGAACATGGATGACAAAGACTTATCATATCCTGTGAATTCTGATGCAGTTAAAAAATACTACCCTTGAAAAAAAAAAAAAAAGAGGTGAAAGCTTGCTAGGTTGAAAACCCGAAAAGGCGACCTAGGCAAAAATTAGAGCAGCTCATTGGATTGAAAACTCGAAAGAGCGGTCCAAGCAAAAATTAGGGCAAGATAACTCACCATTAAGCTGTAACCCAAAAAAGTAGTCTAAACGAACATTTGAAGCGTCATCCAAACCTTTGAGGTTCCAAGATGAAAAATTGAAACTCTAGGAAGCATGTGCCTCAAGCTTTAAATTGGGGCAACTTATGGTTGGCTAAAAGGGTGGTTAGGGTCATTCACAACTATGGAGACAGTCACGTGCTTGCAGCTCTGGGAGAAACGTATGTTTGAAGCTCTAAACTGGGGCAATTCATGGTTTGTTTAAAGAAGCAGTCAAAGTTATTCATGTACGATATTAGCATTGTTCATCTAGAAAGTGTTCATCAAAATAGCTATGTACTCTTACCCTCTCCACTCATCCAACAAAGCTTGTTCATGTAAATACATTCTCCTTATTGAGTAAATAGAGTTATCTTCTTTAAACCTAACCATGGTTAATTCATTGTGCATTTTGTTAAACACATATAAAGAGGAAACGAAAATAAAAAACAAAAACAAAAGGGAATGAGCAAAGAAAGAAAGAAATGGGCATCAAAGGTGTCTTGATAGATCTAGCAATTGCAGTAAGCTCATTGAAATTCCATAGCTTTAATCTCCCTGCAAACTATTATTGGGGATCGTCAATTGCAGTCAAATTGGAATACACTTTGATAAGAATTCGAATAACAAAAAAGAGTCAGAAAGTCTAATCTTATTTTGAACTAGAAGACACACGATTCTGTAAGGATGACAGATCCCAAATTCAAAATGAAAATATTATTGTAATTTTGAAAAGACTTTCATCTTCATCACTTTCAAAAGTCTTGCATCACACATCTTCATTGCTTTCAAAAGTCTCGCATCATGCATCTTCATCACTTTCAAAAGTCTTGCATCACGCATCTTCATTGCTTTCAAAAATCTTGCATCATGCATCTTCATTGCTTTCAAAAGTCTCGTATCACGCGTCTTCATTGCTTTCAAAAGTCTCACATCATGCATTACTCTTGCGTCATCATTATACCACTTTTCATATGATGCATCATTATGCATAGGCAAACACTCTTGTCCAGAATCTGATTGGAACTCATACTCTTTTTAAAAATTATCCAGAACCTGACTGGAACTCTTACTTTTTTGCTAAAATCTAGAACTTGACTAGAACATCTACCTTTTGTCCAAAGTCCAGAACCTGACTGGCATATCTACCATTCGCTAAGATCCAGAACCTGACTGGCACATCTACCGTTTA